CCCCCCCCCCCTGGTCTCGTCTAGAGCTTTCCAAAAGCGTGTTGTCGTTTGATTTATTCATCCTCTTGGTTGCGGAGTAATCGAGATTCGATAACAGCATGTGTGTGATTATCTAGGTACTACTCCGGAGTTAGTTAGTCACCGGCTGAACAACTATATATTGGTATTCCCATTTTGTTTTGCTTTACTGCCTCCCATTTCTCCTGTGTTAGGCTAGTACCGACAGATGAAGGTACTGGGTAGAGATATCTGAACGGTATTTATGTCAAGACAACAACAACAACCTTTCTTAGATCCTGTCCATTACAATATGGAGGGAAAGATCCCGGCGAAGGCGTCGTTACGGTAAACAGACCACTACCTGGCGTTGTTGCTGAAACCTTTTAACTACTTTGTTTGTTTATTATCATACCACCACTACCTGCCGTTGTTGCTGAAATCTTTTTATCTATTTGTTTATTTATTTTTCACTGCCGATTCCAGATCCTGGCCTACCACCACCTGCTGTCGCTGAATCTCAGTTTTTTTTTGGTCCCTCCCCCCCCGCCCCTATTCTCAGATCCTGGCCATTATGGAGGGAAAGATCCCGGCAAAGGTGTCGTTATGGGAAACATACCACCGCTTCGTGCCGTTGTTGCTGAAAGCTTTATCTGTTTATTTATTGATTTATTTTTTCTGTCGCGTCCAGATCCTGGCCTACCGCCACCTATTGGTGTCGCTGGAATCTCGGTCTGTTTTTTTTTTCGCCCACCCACCCCTATTCTCAGACCCTGGCCATGTTGGAAGAAAAGGTCCCGGCAAAGGTGTCGTTTACGGCAAACATGCCACCACCACCTGGCGTTGTTGACTTGTTTACCTTTTCTGCCGCGTCCAGATCCTGGCCTACCACCACCTATTGTTGTAGATGGGATCTCATTTTTTTTTTTTTTCCGCCCACCCACCCCTTTTCTCAGATCCTGGCCATGTTGGAAGAAAAGATCCCGGCAAAGGTCTCACCGCGGATACCGGCCGCAGCGAATAAAGACTTCAACAGCAACAACTCAAGCGGCGGCGGCACTCTCGCGGCTTTGGACTATGCGGCCAGCGAGAGATACCTCCTGGGGGAGCTGTCGGAGGAGCACATAGTGACGTCTTTTGGCGACTCGGCCCGCGTTAGGCAGGCGCAGCTGCAGGGCACGTGCGCCAAGCTCGTCTTGGCGTGCGTGAGGCACAGGTATGTAGGCGCGTGTGTGACAGGACTGCCGACGCAGCAAATAACTATCGTAGGTAGGCCAGCAGCTGGGAGCGGCAGTAAAAAAATATAGTTGAAGTTTTCAGCAACAACGGCAGGTAGTGGTGGGATGTTTTTGCTGTAGCGGCAATTTCACCGGGATCTTTCCCTCCAAAATGGCCAAGATCTGAGAAAGGTTGTTCTTGTTCTCTTGACGTTAAAAACCGTTTCGATCTCTCTACCCAGTACCTCCCAGGGGCCACGCAGACAGACCCTAGCGCTTCCCCCCAACAATACTTTATCCGGTGTGTTTGGTTACATAGAGAAACCTGCGAAGAATACTGGTACTGCCTGCGACCCCCACCCTAACCGATTCTATTCTTTCTCCAGTATGTTTGCTACTTCGAAAAACCTAGCTGATTGTATTCTTTCCCCAGTGTGTTTGCTTACTTCGAAAAACCTAGCTGATTCTATACTTTATCCAGTGTTTTTGCTTTCTTCGAAAAACATAGCCGATTCTATACTTTATCCAGTGTGTTTGCTTACTTCGAAAAACCTGCGGAGGCTACTGGTCTGACACTGCGTACGGATGACCAGCTAGCGGCCCACATGGGGGACGTGAGAAACCACCCCCCCCTGTACCAATTTTTATTGTCTTGGCGTGTGTAAGGCACGGGTGCGTGTTGTGGACTTTGGTCCATGGTAGTCACGTGTTGGAAGGAGACTCGGGACTCGCTGGTATGGAAATGCTGACGAAAGTCTAAAGTGTGTGACACATCGTGGTCCCGGTTTAGCGGCCCATGTTGTCAAAAAATGTTATAACCGCTGATGAGGGCATCGCCGCTATACTGATTGGCAGTCACATGGAAGTAGAACTTTTTGCCTACCGAGTTGCGGCCGTGCCACGAGGTTTCGGAACCGCTATTGAGGACACCCCGCGACCATAGGTTGCACAAGATTTCACACCCGCTGGACCGGTTTTCGAAGCTCGATCGATACCTCGGCAGCAAGAGCAGCGACGGTGCGGAACGGCGGCGTTGGAACCGTC